GCCGCTAATATCAGGTTTCACTACCGCCGTTAATATCAGGTTTAACTGCCTCCTTTAATATCAGGTCTAACTATCGCCGCTAATGTCAGGTTTAACTGCCGCCGCTAATATCAGGTCTAACTATCGCCGCTAATGTCAGGTTTAACTGCCGCCTCTAATATCAGGTTTAACTGCCGCCACTAATATTAGGTTTAACTGCCGCCGCTAATATCAGGTTTAACTGCCGCCACTAATATTAGGTTTAACTGCTGCCTTTAATATCAGGTTTAACTACCGCCTCTAATATCAGGTTTATCTCCCGCCGCTAATATCAGGTTTATCTCCCGCCGCTAATATCAGGTTTATTTCCCGCCGCTAATATCAGGTTTAACTGCCGCCGCTAATATCAGAGTTAACCGTAACTATTAAAATCAGATATCCTGGAAAAGAGTGGCCGATACCTATTGGACACGAGGCGGTTGCGCTCCAGAGAGAGACTGTACGTTGTCTCCTGCATTTCGAATTAGGCCCTCTGGCCTGTTTCCCATGAGAATTAATGTGGTACTATGGATCTTGTGGACAGTAGGTAGGGCCCTTGCACGAGGGATCAGCCCGTCGCAAAGCAGCCTCTGGCCGAAAGGTGCGCAGAAAGACGAACCTGATGAGTCTGCTGCGTGTATTTGTTCATTGTGAGGTATCCCTACCACATTACTCTTTCTCCTCATTCTTTCTCTCCCTTGCGCAGCCATATGCCATTCTTCGTGGCATGAGCTCTAGCAAGTGACTCGCTACTGAACTACTGAAGTAATTGCTCTGAACAGGGAGAACAATTCTAGAATGCAATTAACCTGGCGGAGTCCATTGCCGGAGAACAGAAGACTACTGAGAGAAGGGTTTTAAAATGTTCATCCCCTCTCATTTAAGCTTCTCCGCCAGCAGAATACTAACGAGCCTGCGCAGACAGAACAAGGCTGACTTAAGTACGTAGAGTGAGTGAAGATTTCCCTGTACTTAATTAATTAAACAGCACGCCATAAAGGTCTATGTGGAGTGGAGGAATAGCTCCACTATTCTTGATCTTGGCACTAGATGGAAGTGAGTGGTCAGCTTCACGCTCCTGTCGCTTTATCCCCAGGGAAATAGACCCCGGTACTCATTCGAGAGGAGACTGGGTGGGGTCCAGAACCGGTCTGGACGCTGTGAAGAGAGAAAAGTATACTGGCTGCAATCGAACTCGGACCTTTCAGTCCGTAGTCCGACTGAGCTATCCCGGCTTCTTTCATTTAAAGAACACTCATTTTAATTTACATTTGCTGGTTATTTTATAACGTTCTCAGTACCTGGACTGTATAATGTTGGACGGTTGAGGAAAATTGAATTGTAAGGAGTTTGGAGAGAAGAGGTCATGGCCAATTTAGATAATACCACGTGGCCATTATCTAGAACGTACGAGGGGGTACCCAAAAGAAACCGAACTTATTTTTTTAAACTTATTTATTCAAATTTTAAGCACAAACCTTCAATCCCTTTCAAAGTACTCTCCACTTACACTAATACACTTGTCTAGTCTTTTATTCCATTTTTCAAAACATTGTCTAAATTCATCTTTTGAGATGCTTGACAACGCCTCCGTCGTTTTTTTCCTTCACCTCAGCAACATCAGCAAAACGCTGAAAAAAAGGTTTGATCATTTCGGGACTCTTCTTTCAAAGCACAGCATGCTTCCATGCGACCTTGTTTTTGTTCAGCAGTCAGCAGTCGTGGCACGAATTTCGCAGCCACCCTTTTCATTCCCAAATCTTCTGTCAAAATTCGCTGAACTGAGCTCCAGGTCACTCCCGACAGCTCCACAATTTCTTCAATGGTCCGTCGTCGATCTTCCTTGATGATTTCACGAATTTTTTCAACATTTTCATGTGTTTGGGCCATTGCAAAAACGACGATCACACAAAACAGTTGTCACTATAAACTCTGCCGAAACTAGTCCTTACCTTCTGAAGCAACGGTAGTCGGCTTATCGACTCAGGAATGTTAGCTCTATGCGCTCATACCGGCAAAACGCGGTACTACAAAAGCTCTCCATACAAAAAAAATTAGTTCGGTTTCTTTTGGGTACCCCATCGTATAACGTCAGATGGTTGGGTAATATGTAATTGTAACGGATTTAGAGGGAAGTGGTCGTGGCCAATGTAGACGGTACAACACGTTCAGTGTCAAGAGTGCATAACGTCAGGCGGTTGGATAGTTGAAGGATGTTAGATTGAAAATGACGTGGAAGAATTTGGAGGATGCCTGATCGTAATATTATCCTTGAATTTGCTAACAGGGACTGAGGAAAACCACGAAGAAGCTCAGAAGAATCAGTGTCCCTGTCGTTATCATAACCAGACGCTTATAGGTTATGAGTTTAGGGCGCGGCTTGGTGTAGAGGTATTAATCACACTGCTGTGTAGTCAGCTTGTGAATTAGTCGAGCAGATTGTTATGCAAAGTTGCGAAGATAATCCCAGAGACATTCTGTCAGGTTGGGCCAAATTCAGGGAACTTGTGTGCAGGCTGTTGTGTATTCATCAGACACGTTCCATCATTAGAACATGTGCGCTACAGAGCAGACACAACCTTCATACCGAACTGTAATGACTTCGAAATTTGTAGCAAGTGTTTACTGTAGCTGTTTACATTCCTTGACAGAAACGTCATTTCATACATGAAATCACGACAGAATAACCTGCCTTACACTTCACAGCTATGCTTCCGCTGAGTAAGCGACATAAGGCTGAGGTTCTTCTTAGGTGCGTATTTAACGATGCTGTACTATCGACACTAATTAGAAATGGAAATTAATAGCTGCATCTTTACAAATTCTCATCTCAAAAATGGCCCAAAATTCATTACCAAGTTGCTTGAGACTATAAGTCTATTACTGTGTAATATATTTATCAGATTCAAAATTTCTGAAACAGTGTGTGGTTAAGTTTGTCCTGACACGAAGTTACAAGAAACAAAAGCACAGTACTAACGCATTCCATGCAACACATCTAAGCAATTTTTGTCTTCTTTGTCTATTCAATCATTCCTGCTTCGTATTCAGGTGGCCTCAGGTTCGAATTTCGGCCCAGGGATCGGATATCCTGAATATGGCTCTCGTCAGTTCCTCCAGGCTGATGCCAGTGTAGCAACTCAAATTAGACCACGACCATTTCCTTCCACATCCTTTCCAATTCATTCTCTCATTCGACGCTACCCAATTTTAGCTACTTACAATGCCGTTACCATTTTATTGTCAAGCCCCTTTCTAGTATCGCCAATGTTGTACGTAGATTAACCTCACAATGTCTTAAATGACCTTCAAACGACAGTAGGTATACATTATCTGAGAGCCAATTCGTTCCTCCAAACACCAGTATGGGTCGCATATGATGCTATCTATTGACAGAAATATTGTACTAACTGATAAACAGCTAGCCGATCTCTTCCGCTATATCGATTTTAAAGCAAGAGACATTAGCCGATCTAATCTATTCGTGCTGCTTAATGAACCACAAATAAATAAAGAAATAAAATCATTAGTAAAGGAGGCTTGAGGATCGTTACAATTCGTGTATGACTCGTATTATGCTACAGAGAAGAGTAATATATATATATATATATATAATGGAGACCTACTACTCTCAGAAGACATTACAAACGAACTGTAAAGTAAAAAATAACTGTTTACATTGGCTGTTCCGTATGTGTTTCAAGGGCAAGTTCCCTCTTTATTCTGAGGCTGTATTCTGTATCCTTCTGAAGCAAAGCCAATTCTGTACTTGGAAACAGCAAATGCGGCGTGAATAGCAGTGTGAACTGCGCCTTGTGAGGTCACTTTGATAACTGAAGCTTACAGCGTCTATGCATCAAAGCGAAATGGCCTTTGTTCCAACAGTCCCTCAC